CAATTATAAAAAGGTAACATAAAAGGTGTAACTTAAATGATCCAAAGCTAAAAGAAATGCAGAGTTAAGGTGTTCATTGTGCTTGATAGCGATTCCCCAAATTCATCGCCTCGAGCAAGGCATTTGAATGTGGGGCTCCACAGGACAGACTGCACGGATATGTATACCAAGAAAAAGAGAAAAAGAAAGGACTTGAAAAAACAACCTCAGAACAGTTGCTCCATCCTAGAGCTTCTTTCTCTTTTGATACAATGCTCAGCAACTGTTTGCAGAACACAGCATTTCTCGCATGCGGCCACCAGAGGCTTTTCTTGCAGCCACAGACACCTGGGCAGTGATTGGGGGGGGGGGGGCGGGGGGGGGGGAGGGCAAACCATTGGCCCCTACCCTGGGTCTGCAAGTAGGGGTTGGGCTTTGCACCCCTCTGGAGCCACAACACTGGAAGAGCAGACAGCCGGTGTGAGTTCCCCACCTTCCCATGTGTGGTGGGGCTCAGGCTTCCGGCTTCAGCCCGGGGTGGCGGGCGGCAAGCTTCAGCCATGTGGCGGCAGCCTCCGGCCACTGTGCTTCAGGCTCACCACCCCCCTCATCGCCTCTGGCCCCTGCTGCCTTCCCCAGTCCCTGACCCATCCATCTGATCACCCTTAGCCCCCAATGCCTCCCTACCCACCTCCCCCTCCAAGGCTTACTTTGTCTCCCAGCTTGCCAGGGCTGAGTAAGTAAGTCTGCTGTGAAAACTGATATTTGTATGTTTGTTAATACCACTTTTCACTGCCTCCCAGCTAGCTAACAAGTCTGCTGTTGAGCAAAGTGATATTAACAAATGGCAGTGAAAAGTGATTTAACAAACATACAAATATCACTTTTCACAGATGCAGACTTACTAGCTAGTAATTCTATTAAAAAAAAAAAAAACAGAAGCCAAAAAAGCAAAAGAAACAACAACAAAAAAGACAAGAACATGCAAAGCACCTTATTTGTGTTTCTATTCTGGTTAAGTCT